GCAGTGAAGTACTTTACAGTAAAGGAAAACACAGTCAGTGCATGTGGAAGCCTTTGAGAGGCTTAGTAATATAGTAAAATCACAGATACATGTGAAAATACTGTGGTGAATTTATCAGGGGATATTTTGTCAAGGGAACAGCTTTAATAACGTCCCCTGGGTATTTTAGGGCAGTTAGAAGACAGAGAGACAGGGGGCAGGGAGAGAGACATGGGGCAGTTAGAAGAGAGAGACAGGGGGCAGGGAGAGACGGGGGCACAGAGAGAGGGGCAGGGAGAGAGACAGGGGGCAGGGAGAGAGACCAGGGCAGTTAGAAGAGAGAGACTAATGGCAGAGAGAGACGGGGGGCCTAGAATGACAGGGGCAGGGAGAGAGATGGGGCAGTTTGAAGAGAGAAATGGGGTGACAGGGAGAGAGACAGAGGGCAGGTCTCCAGAGGCAGGCAATCAAAAAGGCCTCTCCTGCACACAGCTGGGGAGCCCAGCCATTTGTGTTGCCAGGGAGACAGCTGCCGCGTTGCTAAGCAGGAAGGGATCACGCCTGGCTGGAATGGGTTACTATCTGCGTCAGACACGCTCACAGCGGGGAGCGCGGGGCAGACCCGGGGGTGAACCACAGCTGCAACGAGGGAGATACTCATTCCAGAGCAAACGAGGCCTTAACAGGCTGAATGGCAGCCATCAAAACATCGCAAAGCACCAGGCGGCTGTACCCAGAAAATCCGCTCAAAACCCGGTTCCATCTCTGACGCTACCCCCGGACAAGTTCCCCACAGCGGGAAAAGGCCGTTGCTCCACGTCAGTAGCAGGAGGGCGGAAACGAGGTGTCACAGGGAAGCGGAGCAGGCGTCTGGCCAGGGTCCCGAAGCGAAGAGGGGCATCACAGTCTGGCGGGCCGGTCCGTGGGCCGAGCAGACACAGCTCGGCACCCGAATCCGATGGTGCGCGAGACTGTAAAAACACCCAGCATGCCCCTGGCGGAGGTGCCTGCACGGCAAACACAAGCAAGAGACAATTCCGTCAGGCAGCAGGCAACGCCAAAATTCTTTCCAAAACGTGATTTGCAACATGAATTGTTAATAAACCTGAGTTGAACGAACAGCTTGGTTTTGTTTTACTCTTGATATCTGCTTTTGAATTTCCTGGGTCGTCCCCCCCCCAGGTCTGGTCTTCTCCCCCTGCTCTGGGTCCAGCCTGTGGTCTTTTTCAGTTTCTTCACTAGAGAAAGAAAACGGTTCTTCCAGTCCAGCTCTGTGACTCCCTGGCCACACCCTGCTCCTTCCTGTCTCTCGGAGCTGCGGAACATTCTGGCGTTGAGAATCCAGGCTTCGCCTCCATATGTGAGCGTGTGGACCACACTTCAGGCGAGGTCACCTCCAGAGGTACAGGGCTAGTTTCCTTTCCAGGACAGCTTTTAAACGCCTGGAGCTGATCCGCCCTTTCTCCTGGTTGACCTATGAATATAAATTCAGAGACAAGTCTGTTCTTAGTGTACAGGGGCGTAATTAGCAATGCCACCTTGATCCAGGATCCTGGGTTCAGTCCAGTCAGAGGTTATCTGCGTGGAGTTTGCATGGTGTCTCTCTATATATATGTGTATGTATTTGCCCTGTGCTCAGGTTCGAGTTTGGGTCTGCACAATAACAGTCCATCTTGTGCTCCACCACCGCATAGAGCTTGTTTGTATTATTGTTTATAACAAAACAATATATAATCAATGTCCTTCGTAAAAAGTGCTACACAAATAAATACATACAATCTGCTGACAATGCAGCAGATATATTTATCCGAGGTGGTGTATCTTTGCATCAGCCACTGACTAGTAAAACAAATCATAATAAAAGAGCCCATAGTGTACTGAGGCACAAATAAGAAGAAATTAGTTTAACCAAGTAAAAGGAGACATTCGAACAACAGCCACAGCAAGGACAGCAGGTGACTGGTTTGTGTTTGTAGTCAGTGTGGAACTGTGTGTCTCAACTTCATCCTTAAGGTCAGAAAGAATTTCCCCTCTCATCCTGACCACAGACCCCACCCTGTGTCACTGCTACAGGACAGCATGCCTCCTGCTACACTGGGCCCATGCAACCTGAAACACGCATCTCACTGCAGAAGAGTTTGATCATTTATTTAAAATCCAGCTGACGTCAGTTTGAATGAGCTGTACCACATGGAAGCAGAAGCTGATTGATCACCTTTGGGGGTAGAGAGCCAGAAAAATAATCACCCTCCTCAGAGGTAAACAGCCTTTTTCATTAAGGAAATTGCACGGACTTCATAAAAATGTCTTCAAAATAAAGTAATATTGTTTTAAATTTATTGCTGCTGAGTGGCCATTTAAAATATAAACGTCAACTGCTATTTTTGTGCATGTGTAGAGTTTATTTTAGGTTTCCCAATTAAAGAGATTTTTATCCCTCTCTTTCTTTCTTAAGTTCAGTATCATCTCCTTTATTAAAATTTATCAGAGAAAAAAAAATGATCAGAGTTCATTTGGCTGGATGTCTCATCCTCAGAAATGCAGAGTACAAGCATTACAGAACACACGCAAAAAAATGACAGAATCACTCACTGAACGCCTGCCAGTCCAAGTACAGAATCGCTCACTGAACCCCTGCCAGTCCGAGTACAGAGTTGCTCACTGAACCCCTGCCAGTCCAAGTAAAGAATCGCTCGCTGAACCCGTCAACCTGAGGACAGAAGCACTCACTGAACTCCTGAAAATCTGAGGACAGAATCATATACTGAACCCGTCAGTTTGAGAACAGACTCGCTCAATGAACATGCAATTCTGTCCTCAGACTGATGGGGGTTC